CAGCTGGGCTTGTCCAGCCTTTTGTGGAGGGGAACCAGAGCCCTCACCTCTGCTAGTGATGTGATCAAGCTCTCTAGAAAACAGGTTGAGTTAGAAAAGTCCCATTTCAGCAAGTGTTTCTGAGGCTCTTCATGCTGGTGTAACGCAAGCGCAAGGTGTTTGGTGCGGGAGGCTGTGAAGAGGCTGTGTGGACCCCTGTCCCTCTGGGGAAATGCTCTGGGAGGTGCTTTGGGGCATCCCTCTCTGGAGGGATCCAGGACTGTGCCCTCAGCATTGTTTTGGCTGGTGATGCTGGCTGTGGCCATCCCTAACAGCAGGAGCTGTGCTGTGCACGGCCAGGGAGGTCCGTGTGTCCAGCACCGGGGCAATGGAGAAGGGACAGAAGTTGGTGGCACTGAGCTGGTGTGAGGCTCTGGCAAAGCAGGGACCACCAGGTCACAGATCGTGCTGGGAACATCCTCATCTTCTCCCCAAAAACCTTCCCATGGGGCAGTAAATAAAAAAGAATGAGGGAGAGGCACTCCTGTAAAATCTGGGGGGGGGACTGTAAGAACATGGAGGGCTGGTCCTGGGGCTGCTGGTTACTTCTGCCAGGCCACCAGTTCCTGAAGTTTATGTGGGTCCTCTCATGGAGGTGACAGGAGATGCCAGGAGGGTTGAGCCTGGTCCTTTGCTTCTGGATGGGTGGGAGAAGACTTTTCCTGGGTCCTCTGTGAAGTTACCCGGTGATTTTGGCTAAAAATGACCCAAGGTCCCTAGCCAAGACCAGCTGGGGACAGCACTTGGCTCCTGTCTGCTGCAGCCACTAAAGGGTGTCTGCCCTGGGATGGCCTGTCCCGGTGTCACTTGCTCAGGTGACAGCACAACTGGGTGCTTTAATCCCTGTCCATCTGCTTCCTATGTGACTTATCGTGCAGCAAAAAAAGGAGTAAGCAGAGCACCAAGTCAGCCTGTTCCAGCTTTGATTGCTAGAGACAGAGGAAGAATTTGCAGTAATTCAGAGGAAATTGCCTTGATTTTTTTTTTCATTATAAAAGAAGGGGGGCGGGATTTTAATGTACAGATGTTGGTATGTGGGACTTGCAGAGCTGCCAGGAGCTGCTTGTCTCTGCAGGCAGTGCCACTACCAGCTGTGCAGGTGGCAAACCAGAGCACAGCACAGCCCCTGTACTGGTGGTGGTGGGATGGTGCTGGGGGAGCTGACGGCGCTCGGACCTCTCGCTCCATCCAGGATGTGTGACCGCAACGGCGGGAGGCGGCTCCGGCAGTGGCTGATCGAGCAGATTGACAGTGAGCTGTACCCTGGGCTCATCTGGGAGAATGAGGAGAAAACCATGTTCCGCATCCCGTGGAAACACGCCGGGAAGCAGGATTACAACCAAGAGGTGGATGCCTCTATTTTCAAGGTAGGGACAGATGTTTCATGACTTTTCTCTGTGGTTCCTGGGCTCGGTGATGCTGGTTTTTTATTTTCCTGGTGGGAGATATCCGCGCTGTCTGTGGGTTTTGCATCTCTAACCCCTGCAGGAGGTTCTTCATCCCACAATTAGTCTCCCAGCCCCTTTTGGGGGTATTTGTTCCTCTTTACCAAATGTTGGTACCGGTTTTAGGTTTGTTTTCAGCGTGTTTGAATCCTGGTCAGACATGGGAAGGAACTGGACATGTTCCTTTTGACCTGCTCTAAACTTCTTATCAGGCTATTCTTGAGAAAAGAATTTAGAAATTAGAAAAAGATTTACCAAGAAAAAAAAAAACAAACTTTGCAGGAGGGAGGGAAGTTTTGGCTTTCACCAAAGGGGGGGATTTCCAAATTTGGGGAAAAACTGGAAAATTCCATCCCAAACCAAAAAGGTCAGGCTCTTCCCCAGGAATTCCCTTCCCTCTGCCCCTGCTTCCAAATATCTGGGTGCAGGGAGTGAGTTCACTTTCCAGACAGGGACAGCTGGCTAGCTGCTGGTTTGGGAGCACTGAGTTATGAGGATGGCTTTGAATTCAGCCCTCTGAAAATGTCATATATGCAATAAAGGTTTTTTTAATATACATATATTTTTGCAATCTCCATTATACATATTTTGCCATCTTTGGTGGTAAAATGTTCTCCCATCAAAAGCACAAATGGTGTTCTGATTTTTAAAATAAGCCAATTTTCATTTATTAGTCAGGAGCTGGAAAAGGAACTTTAACTGAGCTGTTACCGGGTCATTAGGATCATCACTGCTCCAGCAGCGATTCCGCACATCCCCAGCAGCTCCTGACATCTCCCTGCAGAGATGGAGCCACATGTTATGATTTTGAACTCTGCTTTTTCAAACCTGGGTGCCGCAGCCCTGCCTGCACCTGGGTGCATCGCTGGGGCAGGTGCAGCTGCTCTGCACCCCGATACCCATCCCCATGTGCGGCGGCTGTGCACGTGTCCGCAGTCCAGGAGCGAAGCGGTGAATGCCCAGGGGATGCTCGAGAGGGTGCAGGGGGCAGAGAGGTGGCAAGAGCAACATGCAAAATGTTCTCTGCACCCCCAGCTATTTTGCCCTGGGATGGAGGGGATTTGCAGAGCTCACAGGGAGGATTTTTTTGTTGTTCTTTCTTTGTTTTAGGCTTGGGCTGTTTTCAAAGGCAAGTTCAAAGAAGGTGACAAAGCAGAGCCGGCGACGTGGAAGACGCGGCTGCGCTGTGCTTTGAACAAGAGCCCTGACTTTGAGGAGGTGACAGATAGGTCCCAGCTGGACATCTCGGAGCCCTACAAGGTCTACAGGATCGTGCCGGAGGAGGAGCAGAAATGTGAGTGTCCTGATAAGGGACTGACCCCTGTGTAGGTCGGTCCTGTGTCACCACAGGCTCGTTCTGCGGAGCTTCCTGCCCAAAGCCACTCTCCTGCCCTGATGCTTTGCTTGTCCTGCTTTGCAGATGATGTCCCCTGTGTCACTGCGGTGGCAGGGAGGGGAGGAGGAAGGACAGGCTTTTACTCTCCCTCCAAACAGCTGCTTAGGAAATTGGGGGATAACTGCAGCATCATGTAAGCTTCCATCCCGTAAGGATGTTGTAGGGGCAAATCCAAAACCCTTCCCCTCTTGGGGGGTTACTTGAGCCCCAGCCCCTTGTTCTCCCACTGCCTGCCCTGGGTGGATGGCGGGAGCTGCAGTAAATCCCTTCTCTTGCCAGCAGTGATTAGAGTCTCAGTAGCTTTGCAGAGAGCAGTTGCTGCTGCGATGTCCGGTGCGGTGCAGGTTGTGCTAAATATATCTCCTTGTGGTTAGGTGTGCGTGTGCTTTCTCCTTTTTTTTCAAGTAAAAAAAACCTTGCAAAAAAAAAAAATTGCCAGGAAACCTGCCTTTAGCATCTTGGTCTTCTTCAGTGCGTTCACACGGGGGGCACGCCGCTGCTATGCAAATAGCACTGCAGGTTCCCACCGGCAGCACGGCTGCGCTGGGGGCAGCAGGCGGAAAAAGGAGAAGCT